GTAGCGACCGAGAACGACGATCGCTGGGGGTGTCGCGGTGGCGTTGCGATGGCGAGTTGGGGCGGAGAGAGAGAGAACCGGGTTTGGGGCGCACGGGCGGGCGCGGGTTCGGCCAGGGGCGCGGGGCGCGCGGGTTCAAGGGCACGGGTCGGGCTCTGCTCGGTTCAACACTTAACGAATATAATCGAGGCTCGGTTCAATGCGACGATAAAAATAAAACCGGATATATATATTATATATATAATACACACAATAATTATTTAATATAAGAAATTAGACAATTTGACATTTAATAATAAAAATAATAATAATGCAATAATAAATAATATCAAAATATCCACAAATAATTGGGGCATTACAATATTATCGTTGTTTTTTAAAATATAAATATTTGTTCACAATCTAGATGGAATTAAATTAACTGTCGAACAAAAATGTAATGTAATTTTTGAATTAGTTGATACACATAAAATGTATAGTTCTCTAGATGACCCGATTATTAATTTCTCCTGATTTACTATACACATAAAATGGTGTTCTCTGGTCGACCCGGTTATAGATTTCTTTGAATTGATCTAATAATAATAATAATAATAATAATAATAATAATAATAATAATAATAATATTAATAATAATATTAATAATAACAACGACGACCTGGCAATATTTATAAGTAAAACATAATTAAAAAGAAATTGAATCCCCTTATGCACGTCAAGCAGACATATACATGCGTGATTACAATTGTATTTCAAATTAGCTTGCGAAAATTTGTAGGAACAGTTACGCCCGAAACAAAATTTAGTTAACGATTTAGATGTCAACCAAATATTTTATTGAACACCTCTTGATTCACATCACACATTATACCACCATGTTGCAATTAAAGTCGATGAATACGTTGGTAGGGTTGTTTTACATGTTGAACATACCAACCATAAAAGGGAATAGTATTAGAGATGAATGCCCTTTAGTCGACAATTTGGACCCCAAAGAGCCTAAACCCTTTGGAGTTGTGGTTGGGAGTCGAATGGTCAAACGTCCTAAAAAAAGTGTCTCCGTCTCCTACCTTCACATTGTGATCTTCGTTACCATCACCAAGTCCTGATTTTTTCCACACCACGTCAATCACAAGAAACGATTGCCCGAATCGTGTGTTACACATGTAAAATGCGATGGTATCATTCGGCCTCAACCCCTTCTCTCGGACAAATCTATTCCAACCTCTCGTGAACACAAAGCTCTGGCTACTCTTCCAATAGCAGTAGCGGAACTTCCACAACCTCATCTTCCTGTCGTAAAACTCGAGTTGCACCTCATCCGTGTTTTGAGAATCGGGCACGCTCGGGAAATGCAGGACCGCATACCTCTTGGGGATGACAAGCCTATTGAGCTTGCCCACATCGCTCGGAGTTAACTCCTTTTGGAAAAGTAGTGTGCAAGAGAATGGGTCGTGATCAGCTTTCCGGTTTTGTGATTGGTGTTTTGAGAAATCGGCAAACTTGGAGGGGTACGACCCGTCTCGGATCATGCCCAAAACGGCATTGGTGGTGAAAAGCATTTGGAACTTAGTCTCCAAGAGAGAGGTGGTATCGGATAAAGGGAAGTTTTTGTGAGAGTCTCCACTACGGAGCTTGATGGACGCGCTGTCGTAAGCCATGGCAGCATCGACTTGTGATCCAAACGTCCCGAGCCATATGCGCTCATGGTTTGCGTATATTTGGGCACCCCAATGCCCGTTTGGTTGTGGGACCACTCCTTTCAACTTTTCCAATCGAGGCCGTTTCTTTGGGCTAATATTGGAATTCAAAGACTCTTCCTCCTCCGTCGTGGGTTTGTTGGCGTATGATATCATGCTTAACATCTCTTCTCCCATATTTAAGCCTACCATACACGATAGAGAGACCTAAAACAAAAAGAACAAAATTAACAAAACAAAACAAAAATCCTAAAAACTTCAGAAACTTAAACGAGATTAATTATAACAATGAAACAAGAATACCATAGAATATTTCACAAAATTACACAAAAATTAACTTCGGAAACTTGAACAAGATTATACCAAAGAAAAAAACCCGATCGGCTGAAGAATATTTTACAAAGCAAACGTCGTACGATCTAAGGTAACGAAGCTTAAATGTTAATAAAATCATACCAGGTGGGTTCAAATCATCATCATCTATAAAAATTTGAAGGTTGCATCATGTATATGATTAAAAAAACATAGAAATTCAAAAAGAATTATTTCCTTTTTTCAATTTCTTGATTTGTGGAGAAAATCTGTCAATCAGGGATCGTTCTGGAAAAGGGATGTTTCCATTCTCATGGAAAATTAGTTAGAATGACGCAGCAAAACCTCTTGACAGGCAGCTTTTGAACTTAAAATCATACTACATAGTCTTAAATGAAGACAGTTTCCCAAATAAAAAAAATATTCTAACTGTTTTCAAAATTCCATTGGAGATTATCAACAGATCCATTTGTTTGGTCTTTAGAACAACGTCTATCCAAGATTTTAGCTGGTTGCATTTGTACCATTAGATTTCAAATTTGGTACCAAATTTAGATAATAGCAAATTCTCAAGTATGAGAATTACGTAAATGTAGGAATATGTAGTAATAACTTGTTTTCTTACTATAAATCTAATACATCAAATTGTATTTGGTGGATGGAGGGATCCAATATTACTTCATAACTAGTTTTAACTCGTGCATTTACACGGAAAGCGATGTAATAGAGGAGAAACTAATCAAAAATAAAAAAAAATAAAAAATAAAAATAAAATCATAACTTAATCAATGAGAAAATAAAAATGATTTAAGAAATTGAATATAAATATTATTAAACACTTGGTTACATACAACATTCTTGATTTTCCTATTATCAGAATCTTTATCACTACAAATAATTATTTTTAAACTCTCGGACTTATGACTCTGAAAAGAGCCACGTACAACTTCTTGTGACTGAATAAAAGGTTTTTCAGTAGTAAGCTGGCGTGCGACAAAGACTGACATTGATCTTTATTGATGGGCATAGCATATGGAACCATGAGAAGAAACTGTCTACGCTGAAACTTGAACGACACCCTCAAATCACATATTATGATTGTGAGCTAGGAATAAAAACCTTATCACCAACTCCGGCACCGAGTTTAGTAATAACCCCATAAAGTGATCAATCCACTACAAGAATATGATGAAGTTCCAATGGAAAATTTCAACAAAAATATATTACAATGGAATTCCAGCGGCAGTTCCAACAGATATTCCAATGCTATTATTTTTTGTTGAATTTTCCAAAGGATTCCAACAGAAATTCCAACAAAAATATTCCTTGTAATGAGTTTTCCATTGGAATTTTCGTTTATTTTGACAATTCCAAAGGTACATTTTCCAACGATTGAAATAACGGTGAAAAATAAAAAAATTCCACGAAAATTCATATGGTGAAAATCTGTTGGAATAATAGTCTTTGGAATGATCAAATTTCATCCAAATTCCAAAGGAAAAACTCATTCCAAATGAATTATTCTGTTGGAATATTCATTGGAATCATTTCAATAAATACTATATCATTGGAATATTGATTAAAATTTCTATTGTAATATATTATCGTGGGATTTTCTGTTGGAATATGACTTTTTATAGTAATCTTTGTGATTCAAAAGTCCTGAACGCTTAATCTCATTGAGAAATTCAGAAGTACGAATATCTTTAAGAATGTCATATCCACCGTCTGATTTGCAGGGAGTGTATGAACTCAAATAAGTCATTCCCTAGGATGAGTTCAAAGAGCTCATGTACTCATTAACGGACTCAACGACATCAACTATGAGAGCAAGTATGGCTCTGTCTTAGAGATAGTATTACAATAGAAATATAAAGGAAACATCAAATCTACATTATAATTGAGGAAAAATTACATAAAAGAGAGAAAAGATTAGAGAATGTTTCGGTGTTTGAAGGGGAAGCAGAAAAATGAAAAACGAAAAGTAGGAAAGAAAACCCTAGTTGCCCTATTTATACTCAACCTATAACTAAAGGGTTGAATATAAATATGTACAAGCACAAATTTATAAAGCCCAAAATTCAAATTCTAAAGCCCAAAATACAATATAATATTGTGGTCCAAATACATTTTATGATCTAATAGATAGCTAAGATCATCGCATGATCTCCTGAACATGGGGTAGGTACTCTCAACAATAGATAGCTAAGATCATCGCATGAGCTCCTGAACATGGGTTCTCATGTTGGGAATGCAGATATTGGCATAACCATCGTTCGATCCGCCGACTGTGTCGTCTCTAATGCTTGCAAGCCACTACGAGAGACGCCTCAGCTCATCATACTCATCACCCCCACCAAGGTTTTGAAGTCTCATATATCAAGTTAGTCTCAAAACGACACAATCGCGCCCTATATAATGGACAAATTTTCAGGTATTTATTTTATTAAAATAAGATGTCTACTTTAACTTGTCTTATTTTTTAGATGTCCACACATATTTATAATTTTAGATTTCAATATATTACGCCACCATTAAATTTATAAAAAAAAAAAGTTTTATTTTGTCTATTATTAAAAATTAGTCAAATCATGTATATGGCTGATGTATTAGTGTTAATTGAGCATGATTTGTGTTTCAGCTAAGAGTGTAAGTATCATCATTTTATTATAAATATATGTTTATGTGATCATCATATTTTTTAATTATATTTTTTGGTACTAATTATCATTAAAAATCTGAAAATCATTTTTTTCCAGCAAATTCAACTAATAATTTACAATTTTGCAGGAATAATCGAAGGGGCCGCTGCAAGGACTTGTGTTAAATGATGTTTTTTCTTTTAATATTTTGGATTGTATCTGTATAATTATTACTTCTTTTACATGTTTGTAATCACTACAATTTTTTTAAAAAAATGTAAACATTCAAACCTAATGGCTTAAACATTATCTCGTCACTACGCAACAATTACGTTACAAACAAACTTGGAAAAATTACATAGGTGTGATAGATTTTTAAACAAATTAGAGAAATAAAAAATGTCGATCCTAATGCATCTGTTACATAACATAAAATTATGCAACAATATGTGGTTGATTGTTGGATAAAATTAAAAAGATTCAAAAATAAATAAAATGTGACGTAATGGTTTTTGGGAAATCATAAGTAATTTTATTAAATGTTAGCTTGTTGTTATTGCTTCGACCCATCTTCCCCGAAAATTGGATCCCGAAATAAGAAAAAGAAAGATTTACTGCTGAGGGAATAACTTCTATACGAGCGGTCTATGCCAGTTCTTGGACAGGTATAGTGAGCGAAATGCCCATCTTCCTTACTACGGATCAATTGGACAAGGCACCTAAAGGCAAGGGCGAAGGGAGGAAAGAAAAGGAATAGAAGTGTTGGCTGATTTTTATTAATTGCATATATATATATATGGTTGATATATATGGTTGATATATATATATATATATATATATGGGGAGGTCCAATGAGTCCACATCTTAAAATGTGAACGTTTTTCAATTCTCAGCCTTTGGATCTGGCTTTTAAATCTACAGTCAGCATCAAAATCATCGATTTCAACTCCCACGCGCACCAAAACAAAAAAAATATCTCAAATTTTCTTTCTAACTCACGATTCTCTGCGGTTTCCTTCTCAATCTCGATTTCCTTCTCAGTTCGAATTTCGATTTCATCATCTGATTAGGTTAAACCCTCATTTTTATTGATCCGATAAACATACCCAACTGCATATCAAAATATCCAGAGGAAAAAGTCGATCAAAATCATCAAATTCGTAAGGTTCATGAGATTTGTCTGCAAATGTCGGCAGAAGCAGCTTCAATGGAGATCGAAGCAACTCCAGTTGCGACATTGATGGAAGAAGGTGTACCGATTTTATTTTTTTCTAAATCGATTCATTGAATTTTAAATAAATACGTGCTTCTGAATTCAACATTCATGTGAATCGAGTTATTTAATTAGATCGATCACATTATATTAGGAAAACTGTTCGTGCTTATCTGCAATTCTGATTTAGAGGTAGAATCTCTGTTTTCTAATAAGCATATTACATATGTTGTGGTTTATGAATACATGTGTATGGAGAAATAACTAAATATGCAATATGTATTAATAATTATGCACGTAGAAATTGGGTGTTGCACTGTTATGCTTGCACATTAGATGAATATATAATAAAACAAACTATGCATGAAAGAATAAATAATTATGCATGATTATATCAATAAGTATGCACGTCATAATTGCTTATTCATTCATCCAGATGTTCTGCATTAGAAACATATATGCAATGTCGTATATCTAACTGAGCAACTTTGTTGAACTAAGTATGCAAAAGTGTCATGATAAGAATGCACGTTATAATTGCAGTTGTTTTATATTATAACTGTATATGCACCATTTTAATTATAAAATAGCAACATTGTTGAACTAAAATTGCAACAGTTATCAAAACTTATTTTTCTTCTTATATTTTGAAGTAGGTACTACTCATGAGGGATCTCAGATTCAATTGGTGATATCGCCAAATATAACAAAGTATTGGATGCCAATCGTCCAACAAGATATAAAGCCTAAAGTCAGAATGCTGTTTTCAAACCTTGATAATGCAAAGGAATTCTACAGAAACTACGGAGCAAATGGTGGATTTGATGTGCGGACTTACACAACAAAACGGTTTAGAAGTGGCGTGATAAATAAACAGTATATGGTTTGCAATAGAGAAGGATTTAAGCCAGTAAACCCACAAAATACTTCAAAGAGCATGTCACAACTACGTTCTGAGTCAGGTGTGGTTCCACGACACCATGTGTCGA